AAATCTCATATATGAGCTATCAGCCCTGTGTTTAGATAAGAATAAAACGAAATCTCTCCCTGATCCAAGACTCATCTCACTGCAGGGTGATAGAAGGATACCCCATCTACTCACCCAGAAAAAATCAGGACATTCTGATGTGGAGTTTCAAAATAAAAGACCTTTGAAATCCCATATATGAGCTATCAGCCCTGTGTTTAGATAAGAATAAAACGAAATCTCTCCCTGATCCAAGACTCATCTCACTGCAGGGTGATAGAAGGACACCCCATCTACTCACCCAGAAAAAATCAGGACATTCTGATGTGGAGTTTTAAAATAAAAGACCTTTGAAATCCCATATATGAGCTATCAGCCCTGTGTTTAGATAAGAATAAAACGAAATCTCTCCCTGATCCAAGACTCATCTCACTGCAGGGTGATAGAAGGACACCCCATCTACTCACCCAGAAAAAATCAGGACATTCTGATGTGGAGTTTCAAAATAAAAGACCTTTGAAATCCCATATATGAGCTATCAGCCCTGTGTTTAGATAAGAATAAAACGAAATCTCTCCCTGATCCAAGACTCATCTCACTGCAGGGTGATAGAAGGACACCCCATCTACTCACCCAGAAAAAATCAGGACATTCTGATATATAGTTTCAAAATAAAATGGTAAGGTAGGACCCAAACACAGTGTTAAAACAAGGGAGGCAGATATTGAGGACAAAAAAACAAAAAACAAAAAGGAGCAGGCGAGGTAAAAGTGAAATCAAATTTTAGACAGAAATGCACTATTATAGTCCTTATAGTTTACTTGTGGTATTTGCTAAAGTGTATATTCTGATTTATTAGTTTTGAATATTATTATTTTGTAATGGATGAGTGATGGTGGTGAGTTGGGTCGAGTGGCGGGGGAAGCCTCTGGATAGACCTGGTAAGCCCAAACGTGTAGTTCGGGTGAACTGGGAACGTCTGGAGGAGGCCCAAGTTCAGGAGGCCTTCAACTCACACCTCCGGCGGAGCTTTTCGGGCATTCCTGTGGAGGTTGGGGACATTGAACCAGAGTGGTCGGTGTTCAAAGCCTCTATTGCCGAAGCCGCGGCGGGGAGCTGTGGTCTCAAGGTCCTAGGTGCCTCAAGGGGCGGTAACCCTCGAACCTCCTGGTGGACACCGGTGGTCAGGGAAGCCGTCCGACTGAAGAAGGAGGCCTTCAGGGATTTGTTATCCCGGGGGACTCCCGAGGCAGTTGCAAGGTACCGACAGGCCCGAAGGGCAGCAGCCTCATCCGTGGCCGAGGCAAAGCAGCGGGTGTGGGAGAAGTTCGGAGAAGACATGGAGAAGGACTTTCGGGCGGCACCAAAGTTGTTCTGGAAAACTGTCCGACACCTCAGGAGGGGGAAGCAGGGAACCATCCAAGCTGTGTACAGTAAGGATGGGACGTTGTTGACCTCAACTGATGGAGTGTTAGGGCGTTGGAAGGAACACTTTGAGGAACTCCTGAACCCGACAACTCCGCCCTCTATGTTGGAGGCAGAGCTGGAGTATGACGGGGGATCAACACCAATCTCCCGGGGGGAGGTCACTGAGGTCGTCAAACAACTCCACAGTGGCAAAGCCCCGGGGGTGGATGAGATCCGCCCGGAAATGCTGAAGGCTCTGGGTGTTGAGGGACTGTCATGGTTGACACGTCTCATCAACGTTGCGTGGAAGTCGGAAACAGTACCGAAGGAGTGGCAGACCGGGGTGGTGGTTCCCCTATTTAAAAAGGGGGATCAGAGGGTGTGTGCCAATTACAGAGGCATCACACTACTCAGCCTCCCCGGGAAAGTTTACTCTAAGGTACTCGAAAGGAGGGTCAGGCCGATTGTCGAACCTCAGATTGAGGAGGAACAATGCGGATTCCGTCCTGGTCGTGGAACGACGGATCAGCTTTTACTCTCGCAAGGATCCTGGAGGGGGCCTGGGAGTACGCTTATCCGGTCTACATGTGTTTTATAGACTTGGAGAAGGCGTATGACCGAGTTCCCAGGGAGTTACTGTGGGAGGTGCTGCGGGAGTATGGGGTGAGGGGGTCTCTACTCAGGGCCATCCAATCTCTGTACTCCCAAAGCGAGAGCTGTGTCCGGGTCCTCGGCAGTAAGTCGGACCCATTTCCGGTGAGGGTTGGCCTCCGCCAGGGCTGCGCTTTGTCACCAATCCTGTTTGTAATATACATGGATCGGATTTTGAGGCGTAGTCATGGGGGAGGGGGTCTGCAGTTCGGTGGACTAAGGATTGCACCACTGCTTTTTGCAGATGATTGTGGTTCTAATGGCTTCATCGGTCTGCGACCTTCAGCACTCACTGGATCGGTTCGCAACCGAGTGTGAAGCGGCTGGGATGAGGATCAGCACCTCCAAATCTGAGGCCATGGTTCTCAGCAGGAAACCGATGGACTGTCCACTCCAGGTAGGGAATGAGTCCTTACCCCAAGTGAAGGAGTTCAAGTATCTCGGGGGTCTTGTTCTCGAGTGAGGGAACAATGGAGCGTGAGATGGGCCGGAGAATCGGAGCAGCGGGAGCGGTACTGCAGTCGCTTTACCGCACCGTTGTGACGAAAAGGGAGCTGAGCCAGAAGGCAAAGCTCTCTGTCTTCCGGGCCATTTTCGTTCCTACCCTCACCTATGGTCATGAAGGATGGGTCATGACCGAAAGAACGAGATCGCGGATACAAGCGGCCGAGATGGGTTTTCTCCGCAGGGTGGCTGGTGTCTCCCTTAGGGATAAGGTGAGAAGTTCGGTCATCAGGGAGGGACTCGGAGTTGAGCCGCTCCTCCTTCGCGTCGAAAGGAGCCAGTTGAGGTGGTTCGGGCACCTAGTTAGGATGCCACCTGGGCGCCTCCCTAGGGAGGTGTTCCAGGCACGTCCAGCTGGGAAGAGACCAAGGGGTAGACCTAGGACCAGGTGGAGGGATTATATCTCTTCGCTGGCCTGGGAGCGCCTTGGGATCCCCCAGTCAGAGCTGGTTGATGTCGCCAGGGAAAAGAAAGTTTGGGGCTCTCTGCTGGAACTGCTACCCCCGCGACCCGACCACGGATAAGCGGGAGAAGATGGATGGATGGATGGATGTAATGGATGGTTTTCAAGGTGTACAATTTATGTTACATTTTTCTCGATTGCTAACACACATCTTTTTTTAAATTGCTCACTTTCTCAGAACACTAAACACAATTCACAAAACCACACACCTAAAGTGCAAAACACCTAATTTCTCCTGTGAAGAACTGCACTCAAAACTACTTAAACACTTACCAAATGCAAACTTTAGCACCACATATTCATTCACACTTCATTCACACTTCATTCATAATACTAGATTGTTTGACCACATATTTTATGGGCTATGCTCTGTACATAGAGGTTTCTGCAGAGAAAGAGTGCTTGAGTATACAGAAATACAGTAAATGAATAAATACAAATGAGTTTGATAACATTGTGCTACATGCATCTCAGCACATAGTTACTATGCTTCGGATCTCTCTAAGTGTGATGGCATTGTTTGCCAAAACCAAGTTTTTAACTGCTGCTGCCTGTGCCTCATTGAAAATCCTTAGTCTTCCACCTGCACCTCTTTGTTTCTCAGTCCTTCAGATAAACAACAAAGACATAGTGGTTGGTCAGTGTCTGTGTTGCATAAAGGTAAGTTTACCACAGTACATTGTGCATGATTTTTGTACAGTTATAGTATGCAACATGCCAACAATTCAATTACAGTAATGAAGTAAATACGTTTCACAGAACAGATATAAGCACCGATATATCATGAATTATGCAGAGCTACAAACTGGTAACCTGTTATCAAGTCTAAGTGTCCGGATTACAGAGGCAACAGTAAATCGGCTTAGATTAGGCTGAACCCTCTGTCCAGCCTCTCTCATCGTCAAACCATGGTTGATATGGTTCACCCTGCAGTGAGATGAGTCTTGGATCAGGGAGAGATTTCGGTTTATTCTTATCTAAACACGGGGCTGATAGCTCATATATGGGATTTCAAAGGTCTTTTATTTTGAAACTCCACATCAGAATGTCCTGATTTTTTCTGGGTGAGTAGATGGGGTGTCCTTATATCACCCTGCAGTGAGATGAGTCTTGGATCAGGGAGAGATTTCGTTTTATTCTTATCTAAACACAGGTGTGATAGCTCATATATGGGATTTCAAAGGTCTTTTATTTTGAAACTCCACATCAGAATGTCCTGATTTTTTCTGGGTGAGTAGATGGGGTGTCCTTCTATCACCCTGCAGTGATATGAGTCTTGGATCAGGGAGAGATTTCGTTTTATTCTTATCTAAACACAGGGCTGATAGCTCATATATGGGATTTCAAAGGTCTTTTATTTTGAAACTCCACATCAGAATGTCCTGATTTTTTCTGGGTGAGTAGATGGGGTGTCCTTCTATCACCCTGCAGTGAGATGAGTCTTGGATCAGGGAGAGATTTCGTTTTATTCTTATCTAAACACAGGGCTGATAGCTCATATATGGGATTTCAAAGGTCTTTTATTTTGAAACTCCACATCAGAATGTCCTGATTTTTTCTGGGTGAGTAGATGGGGTGTCCTTCTATCACCCTGCAGTGAGATGAGTCTTGGATAACGGAGAGATTTCGTTTTATTCTTATCTAAACACAGGGCTGATAGCTCATATATGAGATTTCAATATGAGATTTCAAAGGACTTTTATTTTGAAACTCCTTACATTTTACATTTACTCGTGGTAGTTATACGTAGTTTGTTTTAAATAATTATTGATCACATTATATAGTACATATTTCTTAATTTAATATGTTTGGTTTGTTTTTATAGGTGCTTTTGTTATTGACCGAGTAAGCGCTGGGATTTTACCGTAATGCTTCTAATATTCGCGCACCCCAATATCACGTGCAGGCTGGCTTGACTGTGTTTTCCCAAGTGGAGGCTGGCTTGACCGCAGTTGTAATTGTTACAAGGTAAGACTTTAGGTCAGTAAGTGTTGTTGTTGACTAACGTTAGTTAACGTAGTGTGCAAAGTAATCAGCGACAGCAAACAGTTTGCTTTCATCATCTGTCACATGACATGTCAGCGCCTTAAATGATGCCGTTTAAAATAAATAAATAATAAAGGGGGGTGCCGGCCGTCAGCGAACCGAGCCAGAACACGCTCTGGGTGGAATCTCCATCCACCGGTTTTACCCAATAATAAGTACCTTCCCAGGCTTTGTTGTAGCTGCATTTTCTTTGTCCCAGGCTCCATTTTACACCACCATCCCGCCATTTCGTTCTATTTTAAGCGGGACACCTGGTCACCCTAGCTATATAGTTGTGAAATATATCTAGCGGTTATACATTTATATTCTGCGTTGCTGAATTGTTGTCCTCCTCCTTTGTGTTTGCTCTATGGTTTCAAAATGAAGCGAAAAAAAGACATTATATCCTTTTTCGCCCCCCCAAAAAAAAAATGATGAGGCAGACATTAACACACAGCAGGAAGTGCAGATTGCCACAGAGACAGAGCCGGAGGACTTTTCAGGAGAGACTGATCTGGAAATTGAAGGTTCAGAGCAGGCAGAGAAAGATGGGGAGTCACAGAGTGAGGCTGAGGATGAAATCGAGAGTGAGATAGAGGATAGATCCACAAGTACTGGAATATCAGGTTTGTGATTTTGAAAAACAAATGTGCCTGCTTTAATCTTAGTTACAGATCAAATGAGTGTGTGTGATACTAATTCATTTTTTTTAACATTTATATTTTATTAAACATTTTCAAAGACAAAGACATACGGAGGACATGGCTCACAAACATCACAAATAGGACAGGACAATAACATGAAGGGTGGCGGGCAGGGGGATTACAGTGTCAGTTACATTTTATGTATTCATATGGAGTTGTATTTATACATGATTTACTTCATAATATAGATATACTTATTTTTTCCCTCTTTTTTATTATAAAACAAAAAAAAGTGTAATAAATAGATACATATATAAATATACATTTATGCACATTATTACAATTATTTTTCTGTTTCTTCATAGCTTATTTATATTTATTTATTAATATTATTATATTTATTGTTGGCAGCCGAGATTGTTTGAGTCCGGGCAAGCCCTTATCTTATCCCAAAGCCTGTTGTCTGGCTTAACCAAATATAACAGGGAGAAAGCAGCTTCGTGTCATAAATCTATTAATATAGATATCTAATTTGTGGTTGTTCATTGCTCTGGTAAATGTGCATTTATAATGATCTGTTTCAATTATAATAATAATAATAATAAACATATTTATTTGCGTTATCTTTCTCCACAGATATCAGCAAGTGCAAAGAGGAGCCACCAATGCAACCACACCCTAAATTGTTTCCAAGGACCTGGATGGGCGACCGGAGAAGGAGTTTCAAGGCTGACTGGTACAAGATTCACCCCTGGCTTGAGTACTCCAAAATGTCAGACTCTGCTCATTGTTACGCCTGCAGACATTTTAGCCCTCCGAATAGCACAGACACTGTATTTGATTCACCTTCAGGTTTCAAAAACTGGAAGAAGGCAACATACAAAGAGGGGGGATTTGCAATCCATGCCAAATCTGAGCGGCACACGCACGCAATGATTGCATGGAAAGACTACCAGAGAGCTGTGACATACAATGCAACATTGGCAAATGTACTTAACAAAGAACATAAGAAACTGGTTCAAGAAAATCGGGAATATATAAAAACCATAGCCGAAGTGCTGCAACTTACTTACTTACTGACACAAAACATTGCTCAAAGAGGACACAATGAGTCTGCAGGCTCAGATAATAAAGGGAACTTCATGACCATTCTAGAGACAATTGCTAACCATGACAAAGCTGTTAAAAAAAGGTTGACTTCCATTCATAATGCAAAGTACACAAGCAAAACCATTCAGAATGAAGTTCTGGGTTGTCTTGCAGACATGGTTCGATCTGAAATAACAGAGGAAGTGAAAAACAGTCTTTAGCATCATGGCAGATGAAACAAAAGATGTTAAAAAAAAAGAACAGATTTCTCTTGTAGTCAGGTACTACTTCAATGGTGCTATCCAGGAGAGTTTTCTCCATTTTGAGTCAGTAGAGAGGCTAGATGCAGCAGGGCTTACTGAAAAAATAATTCACATATTGGAAAGTAACGGTCTGGAATACAAAAACAACCTTGTAGGCCAAGCATATGATGGTGCTGCTGTCATGAGCGGTAAGCACTCAGGGGTCCAGGCTGGAATCAGAGAGCAAGCTAAATATGCTTTTTATGTTCATTGCAATGCTCACTGTCTAAATCTAGTTTTAGTAGATACAGTCAAAGCTGTCCCAGAAGCAGAGCAGTTCTTCTCCTTACTAGAAAAGCTATACGTCTTCACATCTGGGTCGTATGTCCACCCCAAATGGCTAGATATCCAAAGAGAGATGTACGAAGGTGCCACAAGAGAACTCCAGCGATTGAGTGACACTAGATGGGCATGCACATTTATATCTCTCCGTAACATAATGGATAGATTACCGGCCCTCAAGCGAGTACTGCAAGACATAGCCCAAGAACGCAATGGTGAGAGATCTATTGAGGCACGTGGTCTGCTGGCACAGTTGGATCTAGAATTCATTGTGCATCTTGTAACACTCCGTAAAGTGTTTGCAGAAACAACATTTCTCTCTGACATGTTACAGTCTTCATCCCTTGACATTTCAAAGGCTGTGGATTTAGTTGAATCTTTAGTTCAGACATTGAATGACTTCAGACAGGAGTCATTTTTTGATAACTTGTGGGATGAAGTGTTGAACATTTCTGAGCAATGTGATACAGCAATACAGCCAGCAGCAAAACGACAAAAAAGACTGAGCTCTAAACTTGCTGAAAGCTTCGTACTGACTACTGTTGGACAGAGAGAGACAGAACAAGATAAACACGGGTTTCGTACAGCCTTTTTCTACCCTGTCATTGATCAGATGCTCAAGGAGCTTAATAGACGGTTTTCAAACACAAACTGATGAATAGCATCCAAGCTCTTAACCCCAAAAGTGATGCATTTCTGAAGGAGACAACTCTGTTTTCATTTGCTCAGTTGTATGATGCAAATATTGAGGACTTGGGGCATGAGCTACATCAGTTCAGCAGAATTTTAGATAGGAAAATAAAGACTGGGATGCAGAGACCTGATAGTACAGTGGAGCTTGTTCAGTTCATTGAACCTTATAAAGAAATGTTTTTTGAGCTCTTCAGACTCTGCAAAATAGCAGTCGCAATCCCAGTCAGTTCTGCTTCCTGTGAGCGTAGTTTTTCTACATTGAAGCTGGTCAACATTTTTCTCAGATCCACCATCACTGATGAGAGACTGAGCAATCTGGGTGTGCTTAGTATTGAGTCAAGGAGGTCAAAGGCTTTGAATCTTGACTTATTTGTTGATCGGTTTGCCAAAAATCACAAAAACCGCAGGATTATGTTGCTGTAATGGGACGTTTTGGGAAGGAAACTAAATGTGTTTTCCAGATATCACTGTTTTATGTTTATTAGAAATGTGACGGAATAGACGAAACTGATTAGTGCGCGTGCAGAACAGGTGTGTTCAGTCTTCATGTTTGTTAAATAGCCTACTTGTCTGTGCTTATGGGAAATAATACATCTGAAATCTATGTTTTCTATCTACATCCATGTATTTTATTTCATTTAAAGTCAACATTTAAGATTTGTAAACTTTTGCATCAAATCCTTTTCTGTGGATTTAAAAATCTATAAATGTAATGCTGAAGCTAACAGTATAAGATCTGTCTGAAATAAATAAGTGTACTGAAACAAATACCAATAACTGTATTGCATTGTTTTCTTATGCGCAATTACTTCGTACTGTCTAGTTCTCTTTTTCGTCCTGCATTTATTGTGCCCCCCTCAGAAAATAACTGACCCCCAGTGGCCCCCCCACTCAAATTGGTCTAGAACCGCCCCTGGGTGAGTAATACATTTCTAGTTTTCTGATATCACGTTATTGTTTGCAATGCCTGAGTTTGCTAGCCAGCAACATAGCTATAGGGGTAGTTTAAGCAAACCGCTAACAAACCGTAGCATACATGTAGCTACATGAACTAGGGCTGGGCGATTTGGCCTAAAAATAAAATCGCGATTTTTTTTTTTCTTTCTAACTAATGGACAATTTTCGATTTAAACCTCGATTTTTTTTCTGTTTTTTTTCTAAACAAACCAGACCAAGGCTCTTTTAAGTGAACGACGGGAGCCGGCTCTTTTTTTCCGGAGGGATCTAGATCGGCATGAAGGCACATTATGCAATGTGCACATCATCCCGCTTATTACACATGGCCACATTCTCAACAAAGTAACGACATGACTCCCAATATTAATTGAAATGCTTTTATGGATTTAGAAAATGATTTTATTGACTTAAAAAATAGTTTTATGTATTGATTTAAATTGACAAGCATCCGCTAAGAAAAGTAGTCCGTTGTTACTGTTTGAACTAACGTAGCAACGGCAGGAACTGCTTCGATAGTGTTTTTGAGGAGCTTTTTGATTACAGATTTGAAAACATCGTTGCTTGCTTTAAAAGTAGCACACTTCATGATGTCAGACCTTGGGAAGTATCTAGATATCCCTGCCCTAATGCCAAGGTAACTGCCAACTGAATATGTGTAGCCGTTTGATGTCTGTCTGGACCGCTGCGTAAAAAGGAGGGTTTCTGCCCCATTACTTCTCTTCTTACTTCTATAAGAATAAAACACGGAGGACGGAGATCTCTTTTCCTCCCCCTCTACAGACCGCCCAGCAGCTGATCTCAGAGCAGCTCCCCTCTCCTGCAGGGGGGCGTGGTCAGCTGCAGCTCACAGAATCAGCCCCCTGCAAAAACAGCACTGGAAAAAGCAAATGGAGCGAAATGAGGCATGGCTAAAATGCAAGATATTTTTGGTATTTTGAAAAGAAAAAAAATATTTATATACTTTATATAGGTCGATACAGTAGCCCCTTTTTAAAAAAAATAGTTTGTATAGGTGTTGCTATCTGTTTTGTGTAGCGTGGTTCTACAAGCAAGTCAATGCATTCATTGGGTGGTATCAGAGATTTACACGGGTCTGTAAATGCAATGAAAACAATTGGCCACAGCAAATCATTTACATTAAACTTTATTTACTTTATTTACTCTTGAATACTTCAGTACAAAGGATGTATTCAATAATTTAAGTGATATATGTGTACACAGAGCTGCAGTTCGGGTAGTCACAGGCAATGTGGCTGAGTTTTGTGCGCGTTCTGGAAAGTGAGAGAGTAAGCTACTACGGAGTCCCTTAAAGCAAAACAAATCTGCGGAGTCTAGAAATGTTTTTAAATCGCGATTTTTCGGTTCAGCCATTTCACAAACCGTAGGAAAGTAAAAATGCAAATTAATCGTTAAAACCGAAAAAAATCGCCCAGCCCTAACATGAACCCTTCTGAGGTATTGATTACTTGCTGTAAGCATTAGAGGTGGCAGAATGACAAAACATGTTTCTCTCTCTATCACAATGTTGGGTTGACCAGAACCTGGACCAACTTCTGTTTCCTGTTCTACAATGGGCATATGCTTGCGTTAATTTTCAACCGGACAGATGAGGCTAGGATACCGGCTAAAGTTAGCAACACACGTTAACCATGAACAGCCTATTAATCCGTTCTCTTAATGTTATTTCTTCCAACGTTGTGGAATTAGAGAAAAGGGGCTTCTTAACGTGCTTTTATCCGGGGTGGAGGGAGTTACATATTAGTTAAATATAACATTGGGGCGTGTGATTGTAGTGGGTGGAGAAATGAGGATATCCATCTTGGAGTTCAAGCTAGTATAATATAGTTAACGTTACACAATAATAAGGAAGAGAGCTATTTGTGTGATCCATCGCTATTGATATGGATTTAGAGTGGATATTTGAGACTTCTAAACAGTAAACAAAAACGTAACTTATGGGTGAGTGTTTTTAGCAGAGCCATATAATGTCCTTGTGATTCTGTTGATTATTACCTGTCTGTATTATGTTGCAGCTCAGCTGATTTTGGATTGATGGCAAAGGGAAAGGGACTTAAGTGAGAGTGAAAACACAAGGTAAGTTTAAAATAGGTCAGCAATTTCCCACCCTATTGCTAGATGTATCTAACCCTTTCTCCTGTCTCCCTCTCTCAGCACAAGAACCCCAGGGGGATTCAATGGAGCCTGAAGACCTGCAATAATAATAATAATGCATTTTATTTATATAGCGCTTTTCACAACTCAAAGACGCTTAATGAGACCCTCACCCTGCACCTGAGTCTCAACTCCCAGAGTTTTGCAAGCCTCTCCCTGTTCCTTATTTTTGATTAAACAGACGTTAAGCTTCCCAATGGTGTGGTCTTCGTTTTGTGAAAAATATGATTACCTCACATATGTTGTTGCTGTTGTTGTCTTTTGTGATATAATTGCTCCTGCTGACTTGAGCCAGCCATTATTTCCTCCTCTCTGTGTCAGTGGGGAAACTTTACATTCATACTCCTTTCTCTGAGCGCTTGGAGCATCCCTAGGCAGCACAGCAAACCATGGGGGAGACGATATGCCAGGACAACACAGAGGAAAAGGCACAGACAAACGGCATGATATGCTATTCAATGTTTATTGAATTTCATTTATTTACAATGGATGTTCCTAAAGCAACACATTTAACATCATCATCATGCTGCTGCTAGCCCTTTGACTCATTGTGCTGTCAGTTGACAATCATTGATATAGGCACCTGTGGGTCTCCTGTCCTTTCTGAAAGTCATAAAGATTACATTAGTACTTTAGATTACTTGTGTCCTCAATTACCAAGGGATTACTAAAACCACCATGAATTAAAGAAATGGTAGAAATGTATCTAATCAGAATTTTTAAACCTTTCTTCCCTCCCTCTAAATATATCAAACATTAGGATGTGATGCTCCTGACTACCATACAGGTTTAAGAAGATAATATTTGTTTTAAAGAATTCAAAGCAATAAACAACAGGCTCTTTAACCAAGGCAACGTTAGCCTAACATGTATGTTAACAGGTAAGATAGCCAGGGCCGCCCCTGGCCAACTTGGGGCCCCAAGCGACATTGTGAGATGAGGCCCCCCCCAACCGACAGGAGTGAAACACATTTTTTTGGAAACAAAGTAGGCTACTTATATAAATATAATTCCTGTTTATTATTAGTATCAACACAGTTACTTTTGTATATGAGGTAAATGGTAAATGTGCATGTATGTCGTTCAGTATGCGTTTACAGGTACGTCTGCATTTCCTGCCAAATACTAGCCTCAAAAAGATTAAAATATAATGAATGCAAATAAACTACTTCTACTAATAATAATAATCATAATCATAATCAATTCAATAATATAAATACTATATTATTTTATTATAATTTAGTTGAATCTGTATTCTAGTTCTCTCTGTCAGCAATGTATCAACAACTACACACACATTTCTATCAGTATTTCTCTGTGTTGTGGTTGACATGACGATGACTGCAGGAGTTAAGGGGAGAGGCTGAGCGTCACCATGACGATGACTGTTAGGAGTTAAGGGGAGAGGCTGAGCATCACCATGAAATGTGCAAATTGACATAAAAATGAATAAAGGGGGAAAAATGTTCCATGTTTTTTAGGCTGTAAACTTTAACTGTTATTTAAGGCAACTAGACAGACAGTGTATCACTCTTCCTCCTGTACATTAGCAGATAAAAGGCATAACATACTTGAATGAATGTTAAATAAAGAATGCTGGAAATAACTGCATCTCCATTAGCCTGTATGCTCTGCAGAGACTGCCTTCTTCATGTCGTGAATTGCAGCTGATGTTTTAATATGGCAATTGGCAATTTGACTTATACAACATTCACAAGTTGTACATTTGACTCATACAATAACCCACCTTCGAGTGATGCTCTAGTTTCTTCATGTTTTGTTTTTATCCCCTCTTCCTTGTGCCGGACTGAAACTGTCTTTTCACCGACATCTCTTCACCTGCACTAGTGGCTGTATCAAAGCCGTGATTGGTCAGATGTCAATTCATCGCAACGGTGTCGGGTTACAGACGTGCTCCCCTTCTCACCTCTCACTCTCTCTCGCTGTGCGCGGAGAACTGAGCGGAGAACTGAGCGGAGAAATGAGCGGAGAACTGAGCGGAGAACTGAGCGGAGAACTGCGCACAGCAGCTGAGGCCCTCTGGGCGGGGCCCCCTGCGCAAGGCGGGGCCCCATGCAGCCTGCGTGATTGGCCTGTAGGGAGGGGCGGCCCTGAAGATAGCTGTTCACACTATGTATATTTTCTACGTTGTAATGCTATGTTATTTCTATTTAAGATGTTTACATTTTCGATTGTTTAATTATAGTCTTTTAACTGTCTAATGTACAATGCCTCCTTGTCTTTTGCTGCTGCAGCGTAAACATTTCCCCCAATTGGTATCAATAAAGTAGGCTACTTCTTATTTTATTTTAATCCTCAAATATTAGCACATTTAAAAAAAAAACATACACATATCGATATGTTGTATAAATATTGCAAATCAAAACCTTTATTGACCACTAATTACCAAAAATTGCATTCAAATCGTGATTCAAATGGCCAGCCACGAACTTCCGGGAACTTTCTGAGTCTCTCTGAACCATGGATGTATAATAAGAACTGGATACAGCGTGGGAGGCGGGGCCTCATTCATTCCTATGAGAGTTGCTCATTAGCGCATGATGATAAAATGGCACAACTTTTGAGAGAGCGAAACGTCACAGATTACCCGGCATGCCTGAGAAGTACCCGTATGTGCGCTCATAGCGCATGCGCAACTTTAACCAAAATGCTCGTTCACATCAAGCACGTCAATTTGCGTACACGTAACAGAACCGCGCGTTCATGACAGCATGGTAATGATTTGTTATTAAGATGGATTTGATATTAACGAGGCGGCAGTTAGCAGCTAGCGGCTAGCTATCATTATGCTAATGTACACATCAATCGTTATGTACTTATATTACGCTGTAACAGGATCTATTGATATCCAAGCAACAGAGCTTCATTTAGCATGAAAGAATGATTGCACTGTATATATATATATATATATATATATATATATATATATATATATATATATATATATATACTTATAATGAGTAATATTAACTTTATTTAATACAACATTTATGGTACACGATTTAATTATACAGCCCAAGTAGTATGATAATGAATTATAGCCAGGGGTGCACATAACTTTTTTGCCCTGGTTCTCAAAGGAGCAAAATGAAATAAACCGTAACTTTTGAGGGGGTCTTGACTTTATTTGCCAGACACACGGCACTGAACACACGTGCAGAGGTGAACACAGAACACACATGCAGAGGTGAACACAAGACAACATTAGCACGACCAGTAATCCTACAAGCTGTCATCACTACCCTCCTGACTGTTCTCCTCACTCTCTTCCTCTCTGTCAGACATGGTAGCTGATGATGTAGGCCTACTACTTCCTCTCTGGTTGAGTCTGTGATTAGCTGCTTGCATCCACAAGTCAACAGCTAGTTTTGGGTCGAAAGTCTCTGTTGTCATCTTAGACAAGTGGATGTAATCAAATAAGTATGTGAACATAACCAATAGCCTACCATAGCCAATAACAAATTAATGTAACTTATTTTATTTGTGTTGTTCATTCAAATCTTATTTTACCTTAACATTTATTTATTTATGCATTTTTTTTGTATCTCTCCAGTTTTAAAGGATATTTTTGGTTACTGTCCTATAGTATACATTGGAATGATTTAAAACCTGTTTATCCCAATAATTACAAAGGAGTGCCTTGGAAATATGTGTTTACATAAATTGTGACCAAACCGTTTGAACTTAGACTAAGAGTCCTTTACCTCACTGAGCTGTAGTTAACTTATCAGCCTCTCAGTCTGACTGGAGAGGACTCTCCCTCCACATTATTGTAGAAACATCTTCTTCTTATCTCCGTTAGAGCAGCTAGCACGGCACCAGATTATAATAACAACAGCGCTGGTACCACCCTCCCTCTCTCCCTCGCATTTTGTCTGTGAGCTGCGGGCGCCAGATAAGCCAACATCCCCCATTTTCATCACTTACAGCGCCCATCGTACAGGGCAAATGAAAGGTGGAACCGGGAAGAAAAGGGTGTTACATTTACTTCATTGTGAATATTGTTACATCAAGGCCGAAAATTAGGATGAGCCCCAACGGTAAAAAAAAAAAATTCCCTCCCAGAACTGCCAGCGCAGCACCTCCCCAGATCTGGCGCCCTAGGCGAACATCTAGCCAGCGCTACGGGCCGGCCCTGAGTTCATATCATGGTTCATATGCAACTCGCAAATATCTTTCTCTCTCTCTTCTCTCATCTCTCCTCTCTTTTCTCTTCTCTCTCTCCCTCTCAATGTTGGTACGCAAATGCGCTTTGTTTCAAATGACCCGGTGCTCTTTTTTTGGCGGAGGTGCGCATGCGCACCTGCGCACCAGTTATGTGCAGCCCTGATTATAGCAAACATGTGCAATATATCCATTATTACAGCTCCGTGGGATGGCAGTAAGACGATATGGGTCCGTTCTTATTGTGCATCCATGGGTAAAGATAAACGCAACTCACATTGGTTTTTCAAACAGCATCTCTGTAAACTACGTGTATTGTATTCACTGAATTTCACTCTCTGCCTTTAACGGCTCGTTGTAGCTCCAATAGCTCCAGCCAGAGCCTGGCTCCAGCACCCTTCCTGTGAGCACAGTGTGCTCTGATTGGTCGAGACACGTAACATGAACGTGCCGGGCGGCTCGGTCCCGTGGGTTAGATGCGCGTTCATAATGCAGAGGGAAATAACTCTCAGAATAACGTTATTAGCACATTTTACAACTTGAGGAACGAATGTTTTAATAAGGGCTATACAAGTGTTCATACTGGGTAGTTTATTTAGTTTAAAAAAAAGTATCCAACGATTTACAGACCACTCTTTCCCCATGTAAGTCAATGGGAAAAAGTGTTTCCGGGCCTGGCAACCAAACGAAAGTGTAGTACCGCCGTTTGGCCAGCAAGAATATTTTCATCTGAGTCTGGCGCACTTCCTGGGGGCTTGGGCACGACGCTCCGCTTCCAAGTGAGCGTAAGCCAATCAAATCCCGTTTCAGAAAATCTGACAGCTCAAGCCGTAGCCAATCAAAAACCGCGCATACGCTGGGAGAGATATCCTGAGATATCCCGCCGTTCATGTCTATATTTGAAATAAAATGGACGAGGTTATAATCGTAGCGGTAGCGAATCACCCTGTATTATTTGATGTGACCCTGTTCACCTACCGGGATAGAAACCAGAGGAACCAGGCATGGAAGGAGGTGGCAGAGACAGTGGGGGAAACTGGTAGGTTTTCGCCTGTTTGGGGATTTTATATCCAGTTTACTTCATGTTAACATAGCTAATGAAACATAGCCGGTATATTTAGCATAAAATAGCGCCATAGACATTAATCACATACATGTTAATCATCCGCTGCCACATCATAGACTATATTGCATTACATTAATGCACACAGTCATACTCCTTTCACATTTCTTAGTTATATATATATATGCAAAAATTCATTCCTAGCATTCTATTTCCATGTAAATTACTGCTTTATTTAATTTTTATCTTTTTGCAATTTAACTGTACAATACATGTTGTGTTTTATATTAGATTTCTTGTTTTGTATATATGCACCATGACATCAAGTCAAATTCCTAGTATGTGCAAAGCTACCTGGCAATAAACCTGTTTTTGATTCTGATAAAGTGTGACATGTAAAACCTTGTATGCAATTGAAAGGGATTTGGTTTTCATTAATGGAGCAATCATTTTCTGAAATTCAAGAAATTAACTGTATTCTTTCATTTTCATTTTATTAGACGAAGTGTGCAAAAAGCGTTGGAAGTCCCTCAGGGACCGATACCGCAGGGAGAGGATCCTGGAGAAGGAAGGGAAAAGTAGCGGGGCAGGGGCTTCCGGGGGATCTAAGCCCTGGCGTCTCGCGGCAGTAATGAGCTTTTTAAAGCCCTTCATGCTGGACCGTGAGACGTCCAGCAATTTCCCCCGGCAACCCCTGCCTCCACCCACCGGAGCAGAAGAAGAGGAAGACTCTATGGGTGACAGCCTGGATGACAGTCTGGAAAGCCAGCCAGAGCAAGGTAGCAGTCAGCCGGCCAGTCAGCCGGCCAGTGTGCCGGCCAGTGTGCCAGACGGGTGGTGTGCCGGCCAGTGTGCCAGCATTGGGGGAGAAGAAGAGCAGGGGAAGGGAGATGTCCCCTTTTGAGGAGAACCTGCTGTCGGCCGTAGGCCCGATGCTGGCCATGCCACCACCACCACCACCCCCACCACCAGTGGTGGAGGTGGAAGACGAGGACCTCCTTTTTTTAAGGAGTCTCTGGCCTGCAATGCAAAAGCTGAGCAGGACGAGCAGCATGAGACTGAAAATGAAGCTACAAGAGGCGGTCCTGGAGGCCACAGAAATGGACATTAATAATTAATTAATTAGATACTGATCCACATTACATTTTTACACTCATCACTCATCACACACAACATCACATAAATAAAAGTTATTTAAAAGTATGTTATGGCTATACTGTGTCTTGACTTGTTCATGTGGTTTGTCAGTTACAACATACCAGGAGCTTCTTGTATGTCGATATATAATGTGCTGTCTTCTGTAATTATTCAGGTGAAACCCTGATGAAAATTATGAGTGGTTTATCACTAAAAACAGGGCTGAAGGAAAAAGGTTGTTAGTTATATCATGATATCAATTCAAGAAACATGTTTATTAGGAATGGTTGATTTTAAAATGGCTCATTTGGAATATTTGCTTTTTAAAGAAAATGGGTAGCTCTTAAAAGAGCTTTTTGGTTTGGAGACAAATATGGGCCTACACCCACATTTGCCTGCCATCGCACTGCCCCCTCCCTCGTTGAAGTAGGAGCAGAAGGGTCTCCCGCTGTTGGATGGATGGCCGTGTGGCATTGTTGGAGCCCATCCTCGGTGCATCACACAGGGTTGGAGTAACTTAATCCGTGGACCTTGCGATAGGTGTGCGTGATGGCATATCAATGGTCTTCCTGCGGAGGAAGTTATGCAACACACAGGCAGCCTTCACACACAACTCCGTCACCTCGGGGCTGGTGGTGATGACACGCCTGAGCATTCTCCACTGGGTTGAGAGGATGCCAAACGCACCATTCAACCACCAACCTGGCACGGCTGAGGCGGTAGTTAAATAACCTCCTTTCAACGGGTGAGGTGACGTCCAGGGAATGGACGCAGAAGGTTGTCCATCAGCGGAAATGCCTCATCTCCAACGAAGACATGGGGGAGAGGGCCCCGCCGCTCTGATCCTGCGATGACGGTGTCAGGTGGTAGCTGCAGACTGCCGTCTCGGAGGCTCTCTCCAAATGCAGAATTCCGCAGGCTCCCACTGTCGCTGCTCCTCCCAAAGCCTCCAACATCCACTACCCTGAACAGGTACTCAGCATCCACCACAGCCAGCGTAACAAGGAGTGGGGTGGACTTATAATTAAAGTAGAGGGAACCTGCATTTGCTGGAGCCTGGATAACGACGTGCTTCCACATCTATGGCGCACCAACACAGTTGGGAAACTCCCAGCGCTCCTGGAACCCAGCAGCGATGGCTCTCCAATCCTCCACCTGTGGTACCGGCATCACTCCTCGGACCAGGGCGGTCCAGATGGCCCCCGCAACCCTCCTTGACAATGACTGCCACTGTAGAACGCCCGACCCGATAGCTGAAGGCTATCGTCGCGTACGAGTCACCAGTTGCCAGGTACCTGAGAAAAAAAGATATATACATGATTACAAAAATATATTTATTCAGACCCCACACACACACAGACCACAGATCCCCCCCTCCCACACATTGAACACAGACACACACATTGAACACAGACACACATTGAACAGACACACACATTGAACACAGACACACACATTGAACACAGACACACAGACACACATTGAACACAGACAGACACACAGATCCCCACACACACATTGATCACAGACACAGACACACACGCCATGTACACAGGGGAGCAATACTGTGTTTACCTAGATATCTTAATTAATGTTACCCATCTGAACTAAAATCACAGAACTTCATTCATCATCGTGCAATTCTCTCTCCTTCTATAACAGAGTCAGTATTATAAAAAGAAGTAGAGAAATACACAAAACGTACCGTAGAGGCAAATGGCGAGTCGCTCGGCGGGGCCCGATTGACATTACGGCAGATGGGTTGTCCACCTGTGTAATACAGTGGGCCCGACCTTTCCGAGCAACTCGTCGAACACATCCTTGCTCATCCTGAAGTAACCTCTGAAAAGGCCGGTCATCGAGAGACGGAGCTCCTGGACAGAAAGGTGGTATTCCCACCCTTTGTAAGACGGCAATCATTTTTAGCAGGATAGTGGAGAAGAACCGGGGTTTTTCACTTTGTATGGGGTCCGGGGCGGGAAGATTCACATGGAGATTCTGAGTTGGTTGTGTTGGTCGCGGGGCCTCGAAGAAAAACCGCCCCAATCGTAAATCTTGGGGCGTTGGAAGCGAATTTATACGCTTGTAGTGTGGGCCCGGCCGTAATACTTCTGAAACGCTTGTGAAACGCGCCCGGTAGGGTATGACGCCGGAGGAGGCCGGACCAAAACCGCGGAGCAGCCGTAACCCGCCGCAGACGGACCCAGTGGAAACTAGGGGTTACGGCTGCGTCGCGTCGAAAAATAGACTTCAATCCTATTTCGAGCGGGAGCCCAGCGGCGAGACGCTTCTGGGACGCTTCTGAGCCGTAACGCGGCGCGTCTGGTGGAATAGCACCCATTGACTAGAGTGGCCGCGATCCTTGCGGACGCCACGGCGCAGCCGCAACGCGGCCGTAACACGCCGCAGACGGACCCGGTGGAAACTAGGGGTAAGCTCACCTTTCCCAGAGGTATTGACGGAGGAGATGTGGCGGAGGAAACAAGAGGTGTGTGTGTGTGTGTGTGTGTGTGTGGTGTGTGTGTGTGTGTGTGTGTGTGTGTGTGTGGTGTGTGTGTGTGTGTGTGTGTGTGTGTTGTGTGTGTGTGTGTGTGTGTGTGTGTGTGTGTGTGTGTGTGTTGGGGGTGTGTGTGTGTGTGTTGTGTGTGTGACCCTGAGTGACCCTGAGCCAGCAGCTCCTCCCCCAGCTGGATCTCCTCCAGGAAGAACTTCTGCACCGCCTCAGCGTCCTTCAAGTCGGGGAGCTGCGGGACAAACAGCAACAGGAAGTCAAACTGTTTCTGAGTGATCAATAATCAGATCTGATCTGTGAGCCACTCGTACTTTTCAAGATGCAAACGCTTATTGTGAAATTCACACTCGATACAGCACAGCTTTGGCAAGGGAAACCTTAGAGCACATGTGTCAAACTCAAGGCCCGGGGGCCAAATCAGGCCCTTGGTGGATTTAATTTCAGCCCACAGAATAATTTCTAATTACTATTAGATCCGACCCGCCGGTATATTGCACGCACACCTTCACTCCCTCCTGAGGGTTTCCTCAGCTCAGAGCCTGAGCCCAAACATTGATGAACTTGCACCCAAGATGAGATGCCAAGTATCTGGCTTGAACTAGCATCACAGAGCTGCACACTGAGTTTAATGGATGTTTCCTTTTGCACTTTCTTTCCTGAGGCAGCAGGGCATGTTTGGTTTTTTCTTTGAGGGAAATTGTTTTTTTGAAGCTGTTGTTGGCCTGTGGAAAAATGTAACCATAAGAAATGACTCCAGAAAAGCTGCAGATAGAGCCATAAGAAATGAATGCGATTATGTAATGTTTACTGTAATGTTGTTTTTATAGGCAATAGTTTAAGCTTTGTTAGTTCCAGGTTTAATATGTGCAATAAGTTCATTTCAATACGTTTTGCAATAAAAATGTAACCAGTCCGGCCCTCGACTAGTACCAACTTTTTAATCTTGGCCCACTGTGTATTTGAGTTTGACAACCCTGCCTGAGAGCCAAGGCTCCTTCAACAATTCACCACAATATAGACTAGATAAATCATAATATAAAATAAAAGACTAATACAGGAAGTAAAGCTTTTAAAATAAAACCTAAAAATAGTGCTTACCAATTCTACTAAAATATTATTAGAATTATTATTATTAGAATATTAATTAAATGTGTATTAAAATAAAATAATAATATACAAAATATTTCATTAAGAATCACTTTGATCATACTAATACTAATAACACTACTACTACTACTAATAATAATAATAATTAAAGTTGGTACATAATCTGAATTATAGATTGTATTTTAATGAAATTCTTGAATTTATGGGTTTCTAAATATCAGTGATATAACAACAACAATAATAATAATAATATGGTAAATAAGATACTGAGATGTTTGCACAGAGATTTCCTCAGGCAAAATATTTTATATATTTGAGTCACTTAAGCACACTGTAAATGATTGACAGGAGATAAGAGGAAGCGTTACAACACGATAAGGACTGTTTGTGCTCACCTTTGCCATGCCTCTCTGTGGCGACCTGCTGCTTTCTCCTTCCTGCGACAGAGTGTCTCTCTGTCGCAGGAAAAGTCAAAAAAAAGTCAAAATTAAAAACCAAGAAATGGATTTAACAGCCACCTGTAAAACAGCAAGATTTTAATTTTGTTCATGGCTTTAACTGCTCCTTTAATATTTAAAGTAACCTTGATTTAAGTGGTTCAATCACTGGCAGATAACATTTCTCTACCGTCCCTCTCTTTTTTTTATACAGTGCATTGAGGACATTTAACATGTTGTTATGTTTCAGCATCATACATTGAGACCCAATAACTCACGAGAGAACAGGATAACATGATTGCTTTAATTCAGGCAACAACATGCCATAATGATCCATAAGGGATGCCGCCTGAGAGAAAACACTCTTCGTCCTTGTTATCATGACCACTAACCCCCTGATCCCACCAGAAGCGTCTGCGCTGCGGCTGCGCCGCGCTGCGACCTCCTCCTGCGTCCTCCTCCTGCGTCCTCCTCCTGCGTCCTAACCCACCAGGCGCGTTTCAAAACGTTGCGGAAGCGGAGCGTCGTGTGTGCAGTTGTTGGATGAACGTTCCACTTCCTGCCTGCACTGCGCTGCGCCGCGTCAAAAATAGGATTCATCCTATATTTTAGAAATTCCTTGCGGCGAGGAGCTTCTGGGACGCTTCGAGCCGCGGCGCAGCGGGTCTGGTGGAATAGCACCCCTTGACTAGAGTGGCCGCGATCGCTAAA